CCGAGCCCTCCCACGTCGAACGGGGCCCCCCTCGCACCCGGCCCTGCCCCACACCTAGTCTGCAGCCGCCCAGGCTGGCGGGGCTCAGCGCAGCGCCCCGCCCGGGGAAGGCTCCTGCCCGCGGCAGCAGCGCCTCAGCTCGCTTCCTCCACTTGCTGGTCACAGGACCCCAAGGTTCACAGGGTTCACCCTTTTCAGATGAGAGAGCAGCCTGGCCCCCGACCAAGGGTGGCCATTCCTGAGATAATCGTAGCTTTAAACGGCCAGAAAAAACACAAAAGGAGGCCTCTGAGGTCAAGGACGACTTGAGCTTCCGCCCCCCCCACCCCGACTCCATGGACGGAACTTGGGAGAGTGCTTGGGTGCACAGAGCTGAACGCCTCCAGCGGAGCCTGGAGCTCACACGCAGGGCTGGGCTCTGAAAGCTCCGGAGTGGGGCCCGGCTTTCTCACCGCAGAAAGGGGGTCCCCATGGTGACTGTGGGGTGGCGGCTGGGTGAGCACCCCCATCTCGGGGACGAGACCACAGTGCACATCGGGTCACCACCGCGCTGCGCACTTTAAATACGTGCAGTTATCCTTGTTAATTAGTCCTCAATAAAGCTTTTTGAAAAAGAAGACAAGAAAAATATTCTCAAGAATCTGCAATCAGAAACAAAAGAGAAAAAGGAAAGAAAGAAAAAAGAAAGAGGAAGGCCAGCGAGGCCTCTGTCCTCGCAGAAACAGAGCTGAGGCCTTGGCTCTCAGCCCCGCTCCCGGGGGGTAAAGGGCACGCGTCTGCTGCTGCCTGTGCAGTGTGGAGGCTGGGCTTCGGGGCTGGACGGGGGTCAGGCGCCTCCCCCGTGAGGCCCTCCAGGTGGAGCTTGTGGGCCAGCCTGTCCAAGGTCAGCTGTGAGCCCTGAAGAGCCCGTGGAACGCCGGGTGGGACAGGACCCCTCCGTCCACACTCACCGAGCCCGTCCCCTCCCCCCAGGTGTTTGGGAAAATCGCCCTGAACGACACGACGGAGATCAACCGGAACAACAACTTCCAGACCTTCCCCCAGGCCGTGCTGCTGCTCTTCAGGTGGGTCTGCGCGGCAGGTGCACAGGGGCAGGTGCGCGGGGGCAGGTGCGAGGGGGCAGGTGCGCGGGGCACCTGTGGGGGGCGGGGCAGGGTGACGTGGTGGCTGCCCTCACTGCTGTTACCACGACTGGACAGGCGCACCCGCCGGTGACATGGGACATCAGCTGGGGATGCGAAGTCACACTCTGAAGCGCCCCCTGGTTGGAGGCCAAGCCCGTCCAGAGCCGGCCCGCAGCGCCCTCGCTCTGTGACCTTGAGTGACCTTGAGCGAGACTCAGCTTCCTCCCGCAAGCCGCTCGGGCTCCAGAGTTGGTGTGCTGGCCGTCTCGGGGGTCCAGTCTCCCACACTCAGTGCCCCTCGTCTGGGCCAGCACGAGCCCCGCCTCCTGGGAGCCACCCCGCAGCTGTCGCTGCGTCTCCCCGCATCGGGGCCTCAGTCACCCCTGCTCATCGCAGCCTGGGACGCTGGGCCCCGTCTGGGGTTCCTCCGCTCCCGGACCACATCACTTCTCGAGTCCGTTCTCACACGTGAGGTCCACAGCCTGTGCCACCGGCAGAGGCAGTGAGCCCTGGCCCCTCCGTGGGGGCCTTTCCAGAAGGCCCGGGGGCCGTCCCCGTCAGCTCACCGCCTTCACCGTGTCCTGCAGAGTCCTGTCCCCACATCCGCGCCCAAGTGTCGCAGTTGCTCAAACGTATTAACTCGCGCTTGAACGTCAGCCTGACAGCACGCCTCCCTCAGACCGCGGCCGTGAGAACACGGGGGCTGCTGTGAGCCCCAGCTCAGCAACAGCACCTAGGCCTGAGCTGCGCTTAAATGCGGGATTGGACACAGTTACGCAGCGGAGCTCCGGGTCTCCCCCTCCTTTGCAAAAGTCCTCGGTGGCAGGAGACAGTCTGTGAACGAATGAGGAAGGACGAAACCCCGAAGTGTGCTGCCGGCCAGCCAGCCACGCGAGGGGCCCTAAGTGAGAGCGGGCGGGTGGGGTCCAGCGGGAGAAGGCCCGAGTCGGGGAAACACATGCCCACGCAGGGTGCCGCGGAGGGCGCGGTCCCCGGGGCTTCCCCGAGCTCAGGACCCGCGGGACGAGGCGCCAGGGGCCTGGGGCGACGACCGGGCTGCTTGCTCGGGGACCACATTTGGAGAGCATTTGCCTACGATGCCCACAGGCTGAGAGCGGAGCCCTGGCATCACAGCCCAGGGCCTTGGGTCTGAGAGGCAGAGCAGGGCCCCGGGGAGCCCGCCCTCCGAGAGAGGCGACCCCTCGGTCGCACGACTTGGCTTTCTCCCCTGGTCCCCAGAGAGGCTCCTGCAACGAGAGCTTGATCCACAGAGATGTGGGCCGGGCTCTGCACCTCCCCAGAGTGTCGCGGAACAACCAGCGTCAAGGAAGAAAGACGCGCAACTACAGGTGAGCGAACACGCGGACGCGCAGAGAATACAGAGGCCCCAGATATCTGGAGATAAATACAGTTTGTGTCTTTAGAGGAATTTCAGAGCATGAGACGTCTGTCAGCCTGAAAAGGAGCAGGAGGAGAAGAGGTCGTTGTGAACGAGAGCAAGTCAGAGAGGACGCAGGCAGACACACTGCTGAGACGGTTTGAAGTGGATGCAGCTGAAGAGGGGAGTCACGATCTGAAAGACCGAGGCAGGGGCTGTGTCCTTACACGGCAAAAGAGACAAAGGTTGAAAATATGAGAGTTGACACGTGGATGGAGGTCAGAGCCAGGAAGCCCCATCTTCATGACACAGACTCAGACAGAACGAGCCAGAGGCGTGGAGAGAAGGGACCACAGACCAGGGAAAGGGCAAGTGAAGACAGGAGCCTTTGGACGGGAGGGCCTGCGAGGGCGGGCAGGCGCAGCGCAAAGGGGCCTCCACCAGACCCGCGGCGAGGCTGCAGAAAACCAGGAGTAAGGCAGGAATCCCAAAGGCTTCCCAAGAGGGCGAAGCGAACCGCTTGCCAGGGACCGGGTGCCGCTGGGCTGCGGGCCACCGTCCCGGGCGTGCTGGGAGGCGGGTGACGGACCCGGTGTTGGGAGGAGAGTGGGCTTTGGGACCCAGCCTCCTGGGACGCAGCCCGATCAGCATCCAAGTGACAAAATGTAGGCCTTTCCAGAGCGTGAGGAGGCTTTCCGCGTGAACCATCTCTGACACGATCACACAGGGACGTTCTCACAGAAAGGAAAACTACTCGGAGCAGCAGTGAGCAGAGTAACGCCGAGCAGAGCAATGCTGAGGTTTACGGTTACGACGTGTCGTGGCGCTTGAGTCACTGTTCTGAGTACCTCACAGCTGAAGCTGCAAACTGCTTAGAGAGGAGGAAGCAGAGGAAATTCAGAGCCAAAACTAACCTGCGTTTTAAAATTTACTAAAAGTAAACTAATTCATGAAAAAGAATGCCAAAATAACCCTAAAGCAAGAAGGAATGCACTTATTAAAATAAAAGCAGAAGGTAACAAAATACGAAGCAAAAATATTTATCAATAAACCTGAAAACAGATGGTTTGAACAGACCAATAAATAGACAAACTTTCATCAAATCCAATTAAAAAAACAAAGAAAGACGCAACGTCAGGAGTAAGAAAAAGCAACGTAACCGCAGATGTGGGGGTGATTTTAGAACGAAGAGAACATCACCAACTTAGGCCGACATGTCCGAGAACCTAGACGAAGAAGATGCTCTCATGTAAGAAAGTATAAATTGTAAAAATTGTCTCAAGGAGAAATTTTTTGGTTAACCGCGACAGAAACTGATACGGCCGTCGAAGGTTAGTCCTCCAGTGGGCCCAGGAGCCAGCATTTTCACGTGTGATTTCCACCAAAACGTCAACGTTCCTGTGTCACACAACCTTCCGGGAGCGGAAACGGGTAGAAACCTCCCCAGTCCTCCCGTGAGACAACGCAAGGCGAAAAGCAACAAGAAAGGGGAAGACTCAAGAAGTGTCAAAATGCAAGTGTGTGGTGTTTACCGACAGCTCTGGCTGATGCAAGTGGAAAACCCAAGGAAGTCAACTCCAGAACCTTGTAGCAATTAACAGGACGGGCACAGGGAAGACGAACAGTCACGCTCCCTCCTGAGAATGTGCAAGTCTGCTCGCTGTGCTGCAACAAACACCGCAGACGGGGTGGTAAACAGCAGACCTTCCTTCCTCGAACTTCTGGAGGCTGGAAGTCTGAAAGTCCAAGGTCAAGGTTCTGGGCGATCCTGTTCCTGGGGAGAGCCCTCTTCCGGGCCCCGCTGGGCCCTCGCAGGGTGGAGGGGGCGAGCGCTAGTCTCTCCTCCTGCTCTTATAAGTACACTAATCTCCCTACGCGGGCCCCTGCCTCACGACCTGGCCTAAACCGAAGCGCCTGCCAGCACCGTCACGCTGAGGTCCAGGGCTTCAGCACAGGAATTCTGAGGACACAGACATTGGGTCCGAAACAGGTGACAGCCGGCCCGTCCCTGTGACAGAGGAGCTCATACGCGCTCACTTCTCCTAGTCTACGTGACACCGCAAGTTGTAGCCAATGCAGTGAGATGAAAAAATTAAATCAAAGGGCAAGAACTGAAGAAGGAGCAAAATTGATTGCCCAAAAACCAACTGTCAAACTCAATGACAAAAGAAGAAAAAAGCAAACAACCCCATGTAAAAGTGGGCAAAGAAGATAAACAAACAAACAAACAAACAAAAACAAAGCGTAAATACAGGACAGAAATAGACTCACAGACAGAGAATACAGACTTGTGGTTGCCGGGGGGTGGAGGGTGGGAAGGGATAGACTGGGATTTCAGAATTGTAGGATAGATAAACAAGATCACACTGTGTAGCACAGGGAAATGTACACAAAATGTTACGATAACTCACAGAGAAAAAAACGTGACAATGAGTGTGCATATGTCCATGAGTGACTGAAAAACTGTGCTGAACACTGGAATCTGACACAACACTGTAAAATGATTATGAATCAATAAAAAAATGTTAAAAAAAAAGTGGGCAAAGGACTCAAATAGACATTTCTCCAGAGATGGCGTGAACCCGGCCAGGGGGCCCACGGACAGATGGTCAGCATCGCTCATCGTTAGGCAAATGCGAATCCAAACTGCAACGAGATGCCACTCCATGCCCACCGGGACGGCTACCATCGGAGGAGGACAAGGGCCGGTGACAACGTGCAGAAACTGGAATCTTCGTGCGTTTTGGTGAGAATGTGAAACGGTAACAGCCACTGCGGGAAGCAGCACGGCTGTTCCTCAGAAATTTAACAACAGAACTAACGCACGACCCAGCAATTCCACTTCGGGGTCTGTACCTAAAAGAACTGAAAGCAAGAACGCAAAGAGACGTTTGTACGCCGTGTTCTTGGGAACATTACTCACAGGAGCTTAAGCACGGAAGCATTGTGTCCATCGACAGATGAGTGGATAAGCAAAATGCGGTCTGTACACGCAGCGGAATATTATTCAGCCTCAGGAGAAGGCGGTTCTGACACCTGCTACGACACGGAGGAAGCCTGAGAACACTGTGCCCGGTGAAGCAAGTCCGTCACAAAAGGACAAGTGTTCTGCGTGATCCCACTTGCGTGCGGTACTTAGAACATTCGCAGGCGCGGGAGTAGGAGGCGGCTGCCGGCGCCTGGGGGGCTGGAGGACAGGGAGTTGCTGCGTAACCGGCGTGGGGCTTCAGCTTCACACGGCGAGAAGAGTCAGGGAGGTGCGTGGTTGTCTCAGCACAACCATGCGAGTGTGTTTAATACCACTGAGCTGCACACTGAAGGTGGTTAAGATGGTCAGTTCTATGCTATGTGTCTTTTACCGCAGTAAAAAAAAGAAAATATGTAAATAAAACATCTTTTCAAAAATCGATTCCCCTTGTAGACTCTCGGAGAGAAACCTCAGAACAGAGAGTTCAGCACATCTGTCGGTAAAGTCAGCAGCTTCTCTCCACATCTGCTGCCAATGGAAAAATACAACTTCGTAAAAGTACCATTTATAACGGCGACATTTTATTTCTTTGTTTTAAAGAAGGTATCTAGAAATAATCTAACGACAGATGGATATGGAGAAACTATAAGCTTTTATTAAAAGACATTTTAAAAGGCCCAAGTAAATGTAGAGCAGACTCAAAGATGCCACGTTCCCCGAGTTCACCTGTGTTTTGATGCAGTTTCAGTCAGACGCTCAGTGGTTTGCGGGGCTTGGCGGGCTGATTCTGACGTGTCTGTGGAATCAAAGAGCAGCAGAGCTGGGCGGGCTCACTCTCTGTGGGATCATGACGTCCGACAACCTGGAGTTACTGAGACAACGTGGGGAGGGGGGTACACAGCTCAGCGGTGGAGCGTGTGCGCAGCATGAAAAAGGTCCTGGGTTCAGTCCCCAGCGCCTCCGTGTAAATAAATAAGTAAATAAATCGAATCACCCCCCCCAAAAAAGAAGAATTTAATTAAAAAAAGAAGCCACTTAAAAAAAGGAAAAGGCAACGTGGAACCCCAGAGCCACAGTGACAAACCGATAGAGGAGAGTGAACACACTTGCCCAAGACCCACAGGTCTTGAAACATGACCCACAATTTCACATCTGCAGACACAGGTGGGCTGCTCAGTGAACTGTATTAAGAAAGTTGGTTACCTAGACAGAAAAACATAAAGCATTTTTCTTCCTCATATCGAGTGCAAAAATAAACTCCAGGTTAATGGGTTCTTACGAAATCATTATGAAAAACAAAATTTTAGATCTTTTAGAACATATAGGAGAAGCGTTTTTTATAACCTAGAATAGGGCTGGATTTTTTTTTTAGACAAGCCGCAAAAAGCACAAAACAGAGGGAAAATTCTCATTTGATCACATTGAAATTTAAACTTAGATTCATCACAAGACACCATAAATAAAACTGGGAACAAGCCGCAGACTGGGACTTTCCTTGCAATGCACATAGCTGACGGAGGACCAATATAAAGAACGTACGGAAGAACCCTTCAAATGAGCTAGACAGACAGCCCGTGGGCAGACAGGCGACTCAGCAGAAGATGAAGTAACATTTCTTGGCCTATTCATCATTTTAAAACCAAATTAGAAATTGACACAACATTGTAAACTGACTATACTTCAGTTAAAAAATATACACCAGAAAAAGGAGGTGGGTAGGGCATAGCTCAATGGTAGAGTGCGTGCCTAGCATGTACGAGGGCCTGGGTTCAGTCCCAGCACCTCCACCAAAAGTAATAAGTAGATAAACCTAATTACCTACCCCCCAAAAAAACAACCAAATTAAAACAGCAATGAAATACCATTTCACACACATCACATGAGCAAAATTTTTTAAAATTCACTAACACCAAGAGCTGACAAGTCTAAACTCAAAAACAGAAAAGAAAAGTGGTTGCCGGGGGCCGGTGGTGGGGGGGAGCAGACAGGGAGAGGCTGGTATCGGGGCGCGAGCTCCCAGCCGTAAGGTGACCGAGGTCTGAGGCCTCAGGTCTGACGGGGTGACGGCAGTTACAACACTGACCGTATGACAGCAGACTTGAAAGTCCTCACACACACGCACAGATAGCTGTGTCAGGTGGTGCATGTGCTAAGCAGCCAGGTGGGAGGATGTGCACGTCCATCAAACCATCGCGGCTACGCTCTAAACAGCTTAGTTTTATTTGTCAGTTGCGCCTCAGTCGTGCTGAGAAAAGGCTTGGCAGTTCTGTAGAGCTCTGACGCCGGAAGCAGACCCTTGGAGAATAAGCAAGGCCCTTGGAGCAGACCCTGGCAGTGAGGCCACGCCCACCGGCCCCTGGCAACTCCACCTCCAGGCAGGCGTGGACCGGCCCGTGTGGCGACCGCAGGCTTCTCTGCGACAGCAAGACAGAAAAGCAAAGACGAGCCTCAGCAGGGCGGTGGGGGCCTTATCCAGAGAGCACCTGCTCTCCGGGGTTAAGAGGAATCAACTAGCGATACATCCAAACGGCTGACTCTCAGAACGTAACGTGGTTGTGAAAAGAGGGACTTGGCAACAAGGTGCAGTTTGTTACTTTTGCATAAAGCCTTGAACGTTCAAAGCAACACTGTAAGTTTCCATGTTCAGTGGGTGTATCAGCGTTCGCTCTTCCGGGGGCTGACAGACCCCAGGCTCAGCCTGGTGGCTCCCGGGGCTGGGGGGCCGGGGCCGTG